TGGAGTCTGACAGGCTTTTTTGCCTGTCATCTAATGCAAAGGTGTAATGGGAAAACGCCTTGAGCGTCCTCCTCTCCCAGTTTGCCCAGCCGAGACAATCGAGTGCCGCTGCCAAGCTCGCTCGCTCCTGAAGACAGCCTGTCAATCGGAAATAAAAGCCTGGCAAACTCGAGACTCGACGATGTGTTTTGTTCTGATACGCTGAAACATGCACAGACAATCTCTGACACAACAATCTTTCACAATTCAGCAAAAATTACAGCCTTGTTGAATTCCTTTCTTTGTTTTCTTGCGCCTGAAGGAGGAAAACATCGTCCTTTTGTTTATCGTTGAAAACAATGTCTGGTTAAAATCGTCTAAAACTGTTTTTCTTTCCATCTTTGGGCTACGTTTTTTTCTTCCCTAATGTCTCGTAACAATAAATTTGCTTTCTTGTACTTACTGGGCTGTATTGTGAATTTTAGTAAATCACATTAGAGATGACAGATGCAGAGAAATCACCCGAAACAAACAAGGTCAAGTTTGACACCTAGTCAAAAACACGAACGTTAAAGTGATATATTGTATTTCTCTGATGCCAAAAAAAAGATTTTCTTTTTTTTTTTCAGAATTATTTTCTTACATTTAGATTTTCTTCACACGAACAGCCTGCATCATACAATTACAGATACCATGATATATATATATATATATATATATATACATATCACAATTCATATTTATTCTGTCTCCCTTATTAATAATTAATATTTATAAAGTTATATCCATAGAAGAAATCAAAATAAATGGTTTTAATACTTTCTCAAATCTCAAAATTAAATAAAATATCACCTTATTTCATACAGAACTCACTTATTGAACAATTAATCAGTTATTGCAAGGCAATCAATATTTGTTGTGTCTTCATCGTCTTTCATCATGATATAATAAATAATGGCCGCATATCGTAAGTTAAAGTTAATCAGAGTAAACAGTTTATCCTCTCAAAACATCCTGCCGATAGTAAATCTGTTGAACTGAGCAATGGCAGACCATGGAAACATCACTGACTGACTCTCGCTTCTGATCAAGTCTGCAAGCTATCTATCCGTCCATCCATCCATCTATCTATCTATCTATCTATCTATCTATCTATCTATCTATCTATCTATCTATCTATCTATCTATCTATCTATCTATCTATCTATCTATCGTCCGTCCGTCCGTCCGTCCATCCATCCATCCATCCATCCATCTATCTATCTATCTATCTATCTATCTATCTATCTATCTATCTATCTATCTATCCATCCATCCATCCATCCGTCCCGTCTATCTATCTATCTATCTATCTATCTATCTATCTATCTATCTATCTATCTATCTATCTATCTATCTATCTATCTATCTATCTATCTATCCATCCATCCATCCATCCATCCATCCATCCATCCATCCATCCATCCATCCATCCATCCGTCTATCCATCCATCCATCCATCCATCCGTCCATCTATCTATCTATCTATCTATCTATCTATCTATCTATCTATCTATCTATCTATCTATCTATCTATCTATCTATCTATCTATCTATCTATCTATCTATCCGTCCATCTATCCATCTATCTATCTATCTATCTATCTATCTATCTATCTATCCGTCCATCTATCTATCCGTCCATCTATCTATCTATCTATCTATCTATCTATCTATCTATCTATCTATCTATCTATCTATCTATCTATCTATCTATCTATCTATCTATCTATCTATCTATCTATCCGTCCATCTATCTATCCATCCATCTATCTATCCATCCGTCTATCTATCCATCTATCTATCTATCTATCCGTCCATCTATCTATCCGTCCATCCATCCATCCATCCATCCATCTATTATCCATCCATTACATTTTAAAATATAACAAGTATTTGGTAATATATCACTACAATCTTTATTTATATTATTGTTCAATTTATTATATTATATTCACACTATATATATATGAGAGTCGTACTGTAATCAATAAAAGCAGAAGCACTCTATTCTATTCCTTGTGTGTGTTTTACTAAGTGTTGAAACTCATCTGTTGATCTGCTCTGCCTCCTAATGGCACAATGCTGCAAATGCAAGAGTACAGAACACACACACACACACACTGCATTTTTACTTCTTCAAAAACCATCACTTAGTTTGATTTATTACTCATGAGGCCCAAAAAAAATCCCCAGAAGTATAAATATTTCAGACTTTGCCATCTTTTTAGGGACATTTCGTCCTCATAATGTAGAGTTTACCAGGCACACACACACACACACACACACACACACACACACACACACAGTCAGAGGCCAATATTATCTCTTCAAATACACGCCTATACCGTACAGAAAATCCCCGAAACTCTGTTCTCCAACATCTGTACTGTGTGTCCAGCCACAGGAAGTGAGGAGCTGCTGCTTCCTGTGTGTGTGTGTGTGTGTGTGTGTGTGTGTGTGTGTGTGTGTGTGTGTGTGTGTGTGTGTGTGTGTGTGTGTGTGTGTGTGTGTGTGTTGATGACACGTTTCTGAGGGCTGAACTACAGTGTGACGTGTGTTAGTTCTCACCCCACCTGTTTCTGAAGCTCAGCGAAACACGAGGAACATCAGCCGTCCACGACTAGCTGGAACATCTCATTTTTACTCGAGGTCTTTGTTGAGAATCCTGAAAAATAAAACGTGTCAGTTTTAACAAAAATATGAACGGTTTTCAACATTGATGATAATCATAAATGTGTCTTGAGCATCAGATCCTCATATTAGAGTGATTTCTGAAGGATCATGTGACACTGAAGACTGGAGTAATAATGCTGAAAATCACAGGAATAAATTACACTTTACTATATATTCACATAGAAAACAGATGATTTACATTATAATAATATTTCACTATTTTTAATGTATTTTTGATCAAAAAAATGCAGCCTCGGTGAGCAGAAGAGATTTATTTACATCAACATCACATCCTGTTTCTTATTTAGCTGTTACTCTTGGTCTGTGTTGTTAATTGTTCATTTCAGCAAACACATTTCGCAATAAAATAAAAACATGATTTTAACATTTTCTGAAGAAACAAGAGCTGAATTTTCACTCCTTTTACTTCTTGCAATAAAAGGTTATAAAGCTCACAAACAGCCCTAAATGCTCCGATCACAAAAGATTTTAACAGTGCATGTACAAGTCAGAGCTGCAGAGAAGTTGACAGATTTGAAGTGTTTTATGGACCTTCTGACCTTTTAAGATCTGACAGCTTGGTGATTTCCTTCAGCGGGTGGACTTTCATACAGCCAAACATAAAACAATCCCGAACACTCAGAGGACAGAATATATCGGGAAACGCATTCGGACATTTAGCTAGGTCAGGGTCACACGTCTCTCAGAGAACAAAGACCACAGACGAAATCTCTGAGATTAAACAGAGAACACATGGAAAGTCTCAGAGTAATCACACTTTTATCTCCTCTAGAGTTTCAAAACACGTCTCAATGTCTCAAACTCGCCGCAGATTCGACAAACACTGCCATCTAAAGTTAATCAGTGTTATTCTTAATACTATTATAGTTATATTTAGCAGTGGCCAGAAGAGACATCTTCAGCCTTTATTCAAATATTATAAACAACATGCAAAAACAACAGAGAACCAACACAATATTAATAACTGAATATGCATGCTTTTTATGTCAGCTTTTTGTTTTTCTGAGCACTTTATTTTTATTTGCATGTAAAAATAAAACTGTAGCGGTATATATATATATAAATAGTTGACTGTAGTAAATTATATATATATATATAATTATAAATGATAAATATTAGGGCTGTCAAATGATTAATCGTGATTAATCACATCCAAAATAAAAAAGTTTTTGTTTATATAATATATGTGGGTGCACTTTGTATACTTATTTTGTATATATATATATATATATATATATATAAATACACACACATGCATGTATATTTAAAAATATATTATTTATATATAAAATATTTATATATAATATAAATTATATATAAATCTATATACATGTATAGATAGATATATATACATGAAAATATTTCTTTAATATATACAAGCATGTGTGTGTATTTATATATATATATATATATAAAATTATACACAGTGCACCCACATATATTATGTAAACAAAAACTTTTATTTTGGATGTGATTAATCACGATTAATCATTTGACAGCCTTAATAAATATATATATATGTAGGTATGTGTATATATATTTTTTCTGTTTTAATTTTTGTTAGTTTTTTTAATTTTGTGTGTGTATATAATATATATTATTTTCATTTTAATTTTAGTTAAAGATTTTGTTCATTTTATTCGTTTTTTTAATGTCTATATAATTTATTTTTTAATTTTAGTTTTAGTTGTTAAACAAAATAAAAAAAAGAAAATATTGAAAATTAATTTAAATGTACCTCCTTAAAGTCTCCTGAATCCTCTGAGTTGTTCTCCCGGATCATCTGCTCTTGTTCTGCTAGTTTCTCTTGCTGTGCTTCAGTTGTGTTTGCGAGGTCTAGGTGGGTTTCTTAATGCTGAAAGTGTTGATTTCTGCTTAAGCGATCAATTTCAGCAGAAGCTTCTCAGTAAAGACGGATATTGTTGTAGAACAATTTACGGGCTCTGGAGAAAATCCCCACAATAACCAGCAGCAAACTACAGTAGTACATATCATTTATTTTCATAAGTCTGCCTTCCAGAAGCTTCTTCTGAAGGTCATTTATAGTAAAATCCCACAACAGTACCTGAGATAATGTGATCGTGAGATCTTGATGTCCGTATCCCTGTGTTGGCTGTGCTCTGAATGGAAAACTACTATAAAACCCTGATTTTCTCTGGTGAAAAACACAAGAAAACAGAAGTCATAAATCATAAGAGTACAGTCAATAAAAGATGAATGATAAAACGGCATCATCTCATTGCCTAAAATCAATAAACACTTTTTCAATAATGCAAAGCAGACGGTCAAGCTTGATCTGATTTAATAACGCAAATCCTGTTGAAAAATAAATAAATCAAACAAACACACTGTCAGTTTTCATTTTTATAATACAGTTGCTTAACATAGAACACAAATCATAACAATCAGAATCTAAAAAACAATATTTAATGTCAAAAGGAAAGTTCATGTGGGCACTTTTTCAGTCTTGTCCAGGGTCATGACCTTTCATCATCACCACATGAATGTCAACAAAAAGAGACTCCAACACTTTTGAAGGTCTGACGTCCTACTGTAATCATTCAGCTTTCCACACCATCGGAGATCAGGCAGGCGAGGGTCTCAGGGCAGAGATCCAGAAACAGTCTCTTTCTGCTGCAGCTTCAGGACCAGCTCCAGCAGATTCATCTGCATCATCACCTCCTGTGACACACAACACCGGCTTATTGGGAACAATGAAAGAGAAAAGATGCAGAACGTTCTCACAACGTTCTCGAATCAAGGTTCTCTCCAAGTTAAGAACACAAACACTCATAGAGCGCAAACAGTCGGTTCCGGTATTCTGATGATTCATCGAGATTTGCTACTTACCGGTTATGCACATGTGCAGACTCACAGTTTTTTTTTTTTTTTTTTTTACAAAAGGTACATTTTCCTGTTATAATGTATAATTTCCCTTTAAAAAATGCTTACTACCATATAAATATTTGTACGGTTAGCCAGCTGAAAAAGAATAACTGAAAGTTTCAGTTACTATGAGGAAAGGTGTACTTTGACAAGTCAAAGATAATTTTTACTTTCGCACCGTTTTAAAAATAAAAACAGTAGTCTACAGTATACAGTAGCTACTCATAACTTAGAATTGTATTATAATTGTATTTCATCCGGCATTCTGTGATCAATTCGCGTTATGGTAGCATTTTTCGACAAGGCAGCAAAAATCGACAGAACACCGGAAGTAAAAACCCCACTCATTTTCTCGATTTTTAACTATAATTATAGCATGGTCTGGGTGAATACTCGATTCTGATTGGCTGCAGGGTGTCCATTAAAAAGTGCTAGAGGACACCTAGTAAAGGAGTTCTGGTAAAACTGACCGTTTACCGTTCCAAAATAATAAATAAATGCGCTGGCTACGACAGCTGTGAGTAACCATAGCAACAGCTAGTCGTTTATTATATCAAAACAAACATCTAGTTAGCTGTTATAGAGTGATGACGTCACTTTGTAGGACCACTCGGAAGCTAGCGGCGCATGGGTTCCCATCGAAAAGCAATGCATTTTCCCCACAGACTTTTGGAAAATCACAAAAAATAAGATCCATGATCCACAAAGAGTTGTGACCCTTACACGTTTTGTCTATCAAGATAATCTTTACAAGTTAATCCAAAATGTGTACATTTTGCCTATATAAATTTTTTTATATTTTTTTATTTTGCCTATATAAAGCCTATTCAAGCCTATATAAAGTAAAAAAAAAAAAAAAAAAAAAAACACACGCAGGTTATAGCTGTGTGTTCTATGTCATAGATCAAAACGTGAAAATATTTAGAGGCTTTGTTCACCACAGACCTTATTTCAGGCAATTTAGGAAAAATCCCATAGACTTTAGAGCGAGGGAAGCGGGAGTGCTAAAATGCTAACTCACTTCCGCGTTGTGGCCTACAGAGTGACGTCGTAACTTCGGCACTCTATACTACAATAGTATCCAGCTGCAGACCCGCAGCACACCAGTTTCAGAACCCCAGCGCCAGAACCAGAAGTAAGGGGCGGAGTTACGTTCTAACCAACACCAGCGCCAGGGCTGTAAGTGAGGGGCGGAGCTTAGGTTTGAAACCTAACGCCACCTAACGTAATTTAGAGGGTATTTTACACATGAAAACAGCTTTTATTGAACATGAAACGTCCTACTCTCTATGTATGCATGTTATGATACTACATTACAGTACAATAAGCATTTTAAAACATTGATTTTGTGTAATATAATTGTATATAGTTTCAGTTATTCGTTTCATTGTATTATGAGTTACTTCCTGATCATGATAGTGAAAAAATAATACTTGAAACTTATGGATATTTTAATGTATAACAGTTTAATAATTTAAGCTAAGCAAGAGTAAGACCTTTGTTTTTTATGAAGGAGTTAAATTTGCTTTGAAAGATATAAAACAAGACAAGCATTGGAGGTTTTCAAAATGATGCACAATTTGATAACTCATTAGACCTCTGTGATATTTTATGTTCTATTTATTTATTGTGTTTACAAAAATCTTAAATTGTTTTGATATTGAAGATATGTATTTGTAAGATGATTTTGATTGTTTAATAAAAAAAAAAACGCATGGGTATTTTTTATAAAATATACTTTATTTCACAAGAGCATGTGCAGCATGCATTTTTCGTGTAAAATAATAATGTCAAAATCTAAAAAAAAAGAGAGAGAAAATTCAGCATTGTTTTGTTAAAAATCTATACAAAATGACCAATTCAACCCAAGCTAGGCCTGTTTTATCACAACAATCTTGTATAAATTTAACTCACTCTCAGGCCCGTTTTGTCCTTACATTCTTGCTAAAATAACTATAACGCAATAATAATAATTTCGCCTCTCCCTCACTTCCGGTTCTGAAACTGGTGGTGCTGCAGGTCTGCAGCTGGATATATCTCCTATACTACGCCTACCTGTGTGTTTTAATTATTAAAAAAAGAAAGTGCAACACCCATGGCTAGACAAGAACATTAGCTTTCTTGCTCATAAGTTAGCTAAACTGAAGCGGTGTTTAGCAACACATTTATAATGCGTTTAGAATTTTTTTTTAAACAATTCCCTTTACAGGGACTTTAACGTTCACATAACCAAGACTTTTATAAAACAAGATGCTTTGAATGTTCATGTTTAAGAACATTAGCAAAACGTTCCTAGAACATGTTTTTGTTAGTTATGAAGAGATTGACCTGCGGGTTGGTGGTGATGTAGAAACCCGATACGCCCGCTTTCTCCAGCGTGTTCTGTTGATCCAGAACCTTCTGATCCATTTCAGCCACGATCTTCTCATCCATCATCCTCTGCTCTTCTTTCACTCGCTGATCGAGAGCCTGAAACGGTGACAGTCAGGCAGTGTTTGCATGAAAACACACCAGCGGTCCATCTTACCTCATTTTCGGCTCGCTGATTGGTTTTCAAAACGGCCAAATTATGAGACTTGCACGTTTGCAGAGCCTGTTTGTGTTTCCGAACCAAATCCTGCTTGAGTGCTGAAACAGAGAGACACACAAATCGAACACTCCTTGTTTTGAGTATGGCCTGAAACACTCGTACACACACACCTCTGTGTTCGCTGTGTAGTTTCTGTCTCTGGTTATAGAGGTTTTTCTCCGTCAGGTGTTGAATGTCCAGCAGGCCTTGCACTATTTCATACACCGTCCCGTCGATGAGCGCTTGAGCCAGATCACTGAGTGTAGTGTACGACAGACGCTGCTGAAACGAGCTGAAACAAACACACTTATTACTCCACTCACATTAGCAGACATTAGGGGTGGGGAAAAAATCGATTCTCGATGCATCGCGATGCGGACGTGGACGATCCTGAATCGATTCACAAATGTCAAAAAATCGATTTCAAAAAAAAAAATTTTTTGATATGTATTTATAATAACGTAATATTGACGGAACGCGAAAGACGGAACTCTGAAGCGCGGAAGTGCAGTGGCGGGACCGTCTGTGGCGTGCACATAACAGAGATGAGATGGAACGCGAGATCCAAACACTTTCCTTGTTAGGTTAAAAGCTGACGTGTGGAAATATTTTGGCTTCTGAAGTTGAAGGGGGAAAGGAGCTGGACAAGAGCCGCACTAGTTGTACGCTTTGTGGAATAAAACCAACGACGGAAACACGACAAATATGATAAGCCATATGACACCTTTCCAGCCAGAGGAGGAAAAACACTCGGCTGCACCAGTCGTTATATTATTTATTTACTACAAGTATGCTCCTAGTTCAAGCACACATTTATTTTCCTGGTCGTTCTTTGTAATGTTAATAAAATATATTGTGCATTAATTCTTTATGGGTCATTAATTTGTACTTTTAAAGCAAATTATTTATAGTCACACACAAAAGATTCAGATAATCGATTTGTAACATTATAAATGTCTTGTACTTTAACTTTTGATCAACTTAATTTATCCTTGATGAATAAAAGTATAGATTTCTTTTTTCTTTTGCCCAAAAAATTAAATAAAAATTCTTACCGACTCCAAACATTTGAACAGTATTGTTTAATGTTACAAAAGCTTTCTATTTCAGATAAATGCTGTTCTTTTGAATTTCTAGGTGATTCTCTGAATCGGATGCCCTTCAAGTCCCCCAAACTTGCTTCAAATATTTTCAATTGAAGGAAATCACAAAATACATTTTAATGCTGTCAATTAATAGAACCAGGTGCATTTGCATTATAATGCAACAAAATTGCTTTTGAAAAAAAAATTAAAGTTAATAAATGTAAAGATAATGAGTTGCCTAGTAGATAACAAGCATGTTTGCATGTCCTCACTAACCATCATTATATTTTCAATGAATATCAAACAAATAAAAAGTGCAATTAATACCAAAATGTTGCTGCTGCTAATATAATCATATGTTGGTCTAGTGTATTTTCGTTTACTGTTGTGAAATGGAAAATCAATAATCGGTAATTGAGAATCGTTAATAATCGAAAATCGACTGTAATCGAATAGGGACTTCAATAATCGTAATCGAATCGAATCGGGAAATCAGACAGATTAACCACCCCTAGCAGACATGGTAGAAAGTGTATAGTCGGCCAAATGAGCGATACATATTATATATTTATAGATTTGTTGAAGGGGTGTGATGTGGTGTCTGTACCTGGGCAGGTCCTTCACGAGCGCCTGCAGCTCTGACAGCAGGTAATAGTGTCTCTCTTGTTGTCTGGCAGCATCAGACTGATCATCACTGCAGTATGTGTCCATTACACATTCAACCCTTATTATGGAAAGGAGAAAAGAGCTCATTATAAAACAATACACCTGATGGGATGAGTCTCACTTAGAATCAGAATGAGCTTTCTTTCTTTCTTTCTTGTCTCAAACAATCAACATAGATACACAACAACAAAACAATAATTAAAACCACAAAATAAAACACAACCACCAAAAAATAAATATGTATATGAAGAGTTCAGATGCAAAAGCCTCTAAATGCCATTTGAAATTTTCTTCTTTAATGATGATTTTTATCAAACTTGTATATTTAAGTTCAGTAATTTCACTTAAATAATAGGTAATTATCATTGCCATTTAAGTGAAATTACTGAACTTAAATATACAAGTTTGATAAAAATCATCATTAAAGAAGAAAATGTGTGTCAAATGGCATTTAGAGGCTTTTGCATCTGAACTCTTCATATGTAAATAATCGTAATACCAAAACAACGTAAAAAAAAAAAAAGAGTAAAAATAAAAATTTGTTTGAGAAGGAGCAGGCAGAAGCAATTAGCTTATTTAAACCAGCTTCATTCGCAAATAGAAAACTCTCAAGGAATTATTTGTCTTTTCAGAAAATCTGAGTACAAACATACATACATATACCGTATATATGAAATGAATATGAATAACATTTAAAAAGGACTAAGAAAGAAAAGAGCAGAAAACGTATGTACAGATTTGTGCGTTATGGACTGTATGTACTAAAAATATGCATGCATGTACTCAGTTTTGTTATCTTTTTCGCTGCCTGAAATGAAGCTAAAACTAAATAAAAGTCTAGATTTAAAAAAATAAATCACATCACAATTTAAGAACCTAGTAAAATTAACAACTGCACATAAAAAATGCCTTAAACTTACACTAAAAATAAATAAAATGAAAATCTAATGGAAAATAATAAATGTACTTATAATTGTAGTTGGCTATATAAATAAAATGACAATAACACTGGTCTTAGTTTTATTAAGTAACTTGGCAACTATAAACTGTTAACTGTAATTTATTTAAGACTTAAATTATAATTAGTGTGATTGAATGTATTTATTTAATGTAGCAAATAAAAGAAAGATTAACATCTAAATAATTATATATTACCAAAATATGCCAAGAAAGTAATAGAAATTGGATATGAAGTCTTAAGCGATGCAATAAGGAGGATAATCGAACATAATTTTGCATTATGTAACGTTACTGACTGCAAATACAAAATATGAAATCGGTATGAATTCCTTATTCACCGTTTGTTTCTTTTCCGACTCGACTGCATCATCGTATTACTAAAATAGATCAAACTGAAACACTTACTCGCTTTATGTTTCAAGTCCCAGAGACGAAAAGATGAATTTTAAAGGTGTGTTGAGTTTAAATACAAAGACAATCTTGAGATGCAAGTGATGATGATTGTTTTGAAATGAAGAGTTTAGCGCATGCGCATCAGCGGCGTCCTGGGGTCCTTCAGCACGCAGGGCTGCCCTTTCACATGCCTTCGAGTTTAAAATAATAATTCGCTATTTTAAAACATAGACATCGATACAAAATAACAATACTTTTTTGTAATCCATGTCTATATAATAATAATAATAATTTCTTATTGCAGGTTACTCGTTTCATTGCATTCATCATTTTCCTTTTCTTTCTCAAAACACGTTTCCCAAGTTTTTCCCCTCTTACTATTGTTTTAAATCGCCGTTCTAAATGTTTTAATTTAATAATTATTTGATATGTGATGTTTTAATTAGCGTGTCGTTGCGCTGTGCGGCGCTCACCAGCAGATGTCGCTGTTCACTCGGTTTCTCATCAGCATCACCGAAGTCTCCTCATCATCTCATCATCATCATCATCATCATCCGAGAACAGAGTCAGAAGCATCACGACTCGCGCGCTGTTACATCGAGACTAATGCATGGAGATAATATGATGACTTCAGAAAATGCATAAACTGGTGGGTTCAAGATGAATGACACGAATATGGATTTACGCGTGGATGGATTGGACAGATGAAGCCACTCCAGTCAGTGTGGATCTGAACAAATCATTACCTGAGCATCATGATTTAGGTATTCTAACGAAGATAGAAGGGTTTTCTTTTTTCTTTTAGTATCGTTATCATTTAATTAGCAGCTCTTATTTGATGAATTGCTCATTGTTTGAGCTCTAACCCAGCAGACCTGCAGATCTTCAGTGACATGAAGCTCCTGCGATCATGGCCACAAACACTTCTCTGTACTTTCGCATCGTCGAGGGACGAAATCTGCCTGCAAAAGATGTGTAAGTTCAAGTAAAACAACTCAGCTTGTCTTTAAGGTGATGTTTGATCAGATTATGATCTCGAGTGTCTGATCTGGAGTCATAATGCTGTTGACATGATGAGGATGATGATGATGATGATGGTGGTGTGTGTGTGTTTGTGTCCAGTTCTGGAACCAGTGATCCATACTGCATCGTCAAAGTTGACAATGAGGTCGTGGCCAGGTGAGATTTATATTCTTACCTGTGTGTGTGTGTGTGTGTGTGTATATATATATATATGAAGAGTTCAGATGCAAAAGCCACTAAATGCCATTTGAAATTTTCTTCTTTAATGATGATTTTTTTTTATCAAACTTGCATATTTAAGTTCAGTAATTTCACTTAAATGGAAATGATAATTACCAATTAATTGTTATTTAAGTAAAATTACTGAACTTAAATATACAAGTTTGATAAAAATCATCATCAAAGAAGAAAATTTCAAATGGCATTTAGAGGCTTTTGCATCTGAACTCTTCATATATATCAAGTCAAGTCAAGTCACATTTATTTATATAGCGCTTGTTTTCACAATACAGATTGTATCAAAGCAGCTTCACACTGATAACATGAAAGTAGCACAACACAGGATCAACAACATTGCTAAACACTAAATAATCCCAACTGAGCAAGCCCAAAGCAAGCCAAAAGCAAGGCGACATATATATATATAAGTTTGTGTGTGTGTGTGTATACAGTCAAACCTAAATGTATTCAGACACCTTCAACATTTCTCAAATTATCACAGTTTATTTGTTAGAAAATGGTATAGTAATAAAATATGACATTTTACTTTAAATCATATGATATTTGACTGGTTTGTCCGTCCTTCTGTTGGACTCTCACACATGAATTATTTTGAATATCAGTCAGCTGTTAAATTGAACTACACAATTAGATAATACCAGTTTAGCTCAACCTATTACTAAGCAATGCTTCATGTTGTTCAGTGTGTGTTTAAAAAGAGCATTAGCAATTACAGAAAACACACTTAAGCAAAACATGATCAGCTCATTTTTGGCCCCACATTTTTTTTTTTTTTTTTTTTCATTTTACTAGTCACTGTATGAAGAATTTTTGCTTTATTTTGTTTATATTACTTTATTCAGTTTACTTTATTTTGCTATCCTCACTTACATAAATTAAATAGTAAAAAAATTGGTGTCTGAATTATTTTTGGTTTGACTGCAAAAATGTACATATATATACTGTACACTCGCACACATACACACATATATACAGGGGCTTAAAATGCAAATGCATGTAAAATTCGGTGTTGGTTAGTATGTGAAACGGTGTCACTCGCCAGTTGGCCAGTAAAACTGTTATGAATTCTAGCAATGAATGTGAACAAACACACTGTAAAACCTGATGAGTTAGTTCAACTCAAACCGTTTGAGGAAACCGATTGCCTTAAATCATTTAAGTTTATTAACTCAAACAATTTAAGCATAAAAAAATATTTGATTTGTTTTCAAGTAACTCAATAACTTATTGTTAAGATAACCTGGGTAAATAAAGTTAATAGTACTAATGAGTTATTATAACTTAAATCTATGAAGTACACTGTAAACCCGAATAAGTTGGCAGAAAACACTTTTAATAGTACAAACTTAGTTAGCTTTAAAAGCTAATCTGCTGACGTAGTAAATGCTAACTTAAAATATATCAGTTCTGTGAACTCATAAAAATTAATTTGACTGAACTAATTAGTTGAATTTAAGTTTGTCCTACTCAAAGCAATTAATTATTTTGACCGTTAGGGTTTACAGTGCATGAACGACGCTCGGGACAGTTGACGGGCTATCGCCACGAATCTTTAAAGGGATACTCCACCGTTTTTAAATATTAAATTAGTAGTTCATTTAAAAAAAAAAAAAAAACTTATAATTTACTCACCCCCATGTCATCCAAGATGTCCATGTCTTTCTTTCTTCAGTCGAAAAGAAATGAAGGTTTTTGATGAAAACATTCCAGGATTTTCTCCATATAATGGACTTCAATGGGGACCAAATGGTTCAAGGTCCAAATGAGAGTTTCAGTGCAGCTTCAAAGGGCTTTAAACGACACCAGACGATAAATAAGAGTCTTATCTAAAATGAACGAATCTTTTTTTGAGTCAATTGTTTAATTCAACAAACGAAATGAACCAAATTACTCGAAAAAAAGATTCAGGAGAGTCACAAGCCCATCACTTTAGACCCTATATTATATAAAACAGCACTTGGTGTGTTTTAACCTGGCAGTGTATATATGAAGAGTTCAGATGCAAAAGCCTCTAAATGCCATTTGAAATTTTCTTCTAGAATGGCCATTTTTATCAAGCTTGTATATTTAAGTTCAGTAATTTCACTTAAATAACAATTAATAGGTAATTATCATTTCCATTTAAGTGAAATCACTGAACTTAAATATACAAGCTTGATAAAAATGGCCATTCTAGAAGAAAATTTCAAATGGCACTTAGAGGCTTTTGCATCTGAACTCTTCATATATATATATAAATATATATATATATACACACACTGCCAGGTTAAAACACACCAAGTGCTTTTTATATAGACATATAGATGTGAGGTTAGTCGTCATTTATACAGTGAAAGTGTATATAAGCCGCATCTCATATCGATCTGTCAATATTTTGCATGATGGATTAATCATCATAATCCTTCATTGATTGCGGCGATCATGGTGTTGTTATTGATCTAATTGATCGGCCACGGTCGGACACTAATGCAAATGATGGAAGCATTAATGCACTTTGCATCATCAGCCGGTTGCCACGGAGAACTAAATAATTGCAACAACAACAAAAAAAGCGATTGCGCGTGAGATTGTGTGTTGCGTCGCTTTCACATGCTGTATTGTAAGAGTTTCCTGAACACCTGGTGTGTGTGTGTGTGTGGTGCATATTTAAAAAATGTCTTTTGAAATGGAAATGCTCAGGCCTCCCTTTGAGAAATTGGGTGAATTGATTGATTGTTTTCCACCGTCGTCACTCACGGCCATTTAAATTGTTCTCTGTATCCAGGCAGATTGTAATTCAGGCTCTGGTACATGTATTAAACTTGTGTGTTTTCTGTGTCCCGTCCAGAACGGCGACCGTCTGGAAGAACTTGAATCCTTTCTGGGGGGAAGAATACACCCTTCACCTGCCAACGGGCTTCCATACACTGACCTTTTATGTCATGGATGAAGACACTATTAGGTAACGAATGTGCCGTGATGTCACGGGTGTAAGAGCTCATGTGTGTGTGTCCAGAATGCATGAAGTTAGATGAGTAAATGAGCATCTGACGGACTGTTCTGCTCTTGTTTGTGTTGTCGAGACCCGTTTGCCCACTAACACACATGAACACACACTCACAATCACGGCAGAACATGTGAACGCACAAACACACAGATGGTGTGATGACAGTCGGTGACCACCACAGCTCGGGTCTGTTCAGTTCTCACAGCACAGAAATGACGTGTTTCTGTCTGGTTTTTCAGCACAAATTTCCAAACATTTATTTACTGGAGAAGCGAAATTACTGAAGATGTGTCAAGTTTATGCTTAAACAAGAACAAATATCTGTCAGTGAGTCTCTTGAGTTAAAAATGTTTAGATATTTGTGCTGGAAAACCGGACTGAAACACTGAGGAAGAACATCATGTTTTGCAGTGATGCATTCACTCTTATTAATAATGGTTATTTAATTATTGGCATTGATGGTTAAAGAATCGTTAAAGGAGTAGTTCACTTTTTTTTTTTTTTTTAAACGTTTGCTGATAATTTACTCGCCCCCATGTCATCCAAGATGTCCATGTCTTTCTTTCTTCAGTCGAAAACAAATTAAGGTTTTTGATGAAAACATTCCAGGATTTTCTCCATATAATGGACTTCAATGGGGACCAAATGAGAGTTTCAGTGCAGCTTCAAAGGGCTTTAAACGACACCAGATGATGAATAAGGGTCTTATCTAAAATGAAAGAATCTTTTTACGAGTCATTTGGTTAATTCAACGAACGATATGAATCAAATGACTCAAAAAAAGATTCATGAGAGTCACAAACGCGCATCACAGAACAGAGCAAGGCGAGCATTTGAGCTTATAAAACTTAAAGTTTTTTATTTAATTTTTAAATGAGCGATTGTTTCGCTTGATAAGACCCTTATTTATCGTCTGGTGTCGTTTAAAGCCCTTTGAACAGTTTGCACTGAAACTCTCATTTGGACCTTGAACCGTTTGGACCCCATTGAAGTCCATTATATGGAGAAAATCCTGGAATGTTTTCATCAAAAACCTTAATTTCTTTTTAACTGAAGAAAGAAAGACGTGGACATCTTGGATGACATGGGGGCGAGTAAATTAAATTAACTAATCCTTTAACATCAGTGGAATATTTCCATTGCACAGAAGGCTTTTATAGTGGAAAAAGGTAGTTAAAATGGTTCTTTTAAGATCTGTTCACTGAAAGGTTCTTTGGGGAACAAAAAATGGTTCTTTGGCATCACTTGTGGAACCTTGATTTGAAGAGTGTTACATTGTATTACTCTTAGAAGAAAATTTCTAAATGGAACCTTAAAAGGTTCCGTCAGGCGCTTCATATATAGAACATTTCATTGGTTCCCGTCATGGGATCATTTGATGGATTTAGTTTTAATTAAATAATTTTAATAGTTTACTTCTCTTTTTGATGAATTACGCAGCTCATCAATACGCTTTATCACTAGAACCCACTAAACGTGAAAGTATTAAGCAATCATTTATGCTATTTTAAAGTTTTGGAGTCAACAGGTTTACATGCATCAAAGATCAAAAAGACGTTTCATTTCCTCATACAGTAATATACTGTGCACTTTCAGATTTACAACTTTGCAGGATGTTTTCATTCACTTAGAGCTGTGTTACACTACATGAAAGGGCATTTTCAAAAATACATAATAGGGGCCCTTTAAGACATTTCTCCTTTTTGGCATAAAGCGTTCTATATAACAGAACCGCATTGAACCCTTTTTATCTGTCTGTCTATTTACGGTTCATTATGTCTGTCTGTGAGTCTGAAGAGCTGATTGATGATCATGATGGTGGTTTACTAAAATATGGAAAACGTCAGATCATTAATACACACCTCATGTTGTGTTTCACGCCACAGTCACGATGATGTCATCGGTAAAATCTCTCTGAGTAAAGATGCGATCACCGCTCAACACAAAGGTAAGCGATGATGCAAGAGAGGACAAGCATTCACATTCACAAAATCTAAACACATAAAGCCCAGCAATTAAGAAATATGACAACAGAATAACACATTAAAAAAATAATAATATAAATACAAAAAAAATAAAAAACATATATATTAAAAGACTATTTGAAAAAAAATAGTAATATATAATTAAAAAAATAAACATATATATAGTTTTTATTTTTAATGCTCATTTTATTTTAATTTCAATATATGTATTTATTATCTATTTATTATTTATAAATATATTATTTAAAATTATATATACATAAAAGGGGTCTATAAAATCAACCAGAACTTTATTTAAAAAGGGATGCCATGCCTTACACATTAAAAAAAATAATAATATAAATACAAAAAAATAGAAAACATATATTAAAAGACTATTTGAAAAAAAAATAGTAATATAAATTAAAAAAAAATAAACATATATATAGTTTTTATTTTTAATGCTCATTTTATTTTAATTTCAATATATGTATTTATTATCTATTTATTATTTATAAATATATTATTTAAAATTATATATACATAAAAGGGGTCTATAAAATCAGCCAGAACTTTATTTAAAAAGGGATGCCATGCCTTACACATTAAAAAAAAATAATAATAGAACAGCTGTCATATTAAAAGACTATTTGAAAAAAAAAATAGTAATATAAATTAAAAAAAATTAAACATATATATAGTTTTTATTTTTAATGCTCATTTTATTTTAATTTCAATATATGTATTTATTATCTATTTATTATTTATAAATATATTATTTAAAATTATATATACATAAAAGGGGTCTATAAAATCAGCCAGAACTTTATTTAAAAAGGGATGCCATGCCTTATTAAATATATTCAGATAAAAAATGATTTGTTGTTATTTTGTGCTAGCTTTATGATTGTTCAGAGCGCTGGTTACACGTTTCCTAAAACTGATTTGCATTCATCCTCCACACATACAAAATAAAATGCATCTCACTTCTCATTTCTTTAAAAAAAAAAAACCATTTTAAACTTGAGATATTATACAACACTGAGATATTCTTCTTAAGAGTTCAGAAGCAGCTGTCATTTCTAAAAATATGATTTTTGCATAACCAAATTCTTGAAGAGAGAAGGGAAGTGAAGACCCACAAGCATCTAAATGTAAAGAAAACCACAGGAAGTGACTGAATGATGCACATTTAAAGTCATGCATTCAGATCAGTGTTATTTTAGTTTTTTCATTGGAAATAATTTGACTCAATCTTACTGAAAAATAAAGCATGAACTACGAGAGCGAGTGCGGGGTTTAGATGAATGCCCTCAGTGCTGTTCTCAGCTGGAACGGAGGAGTGTGTGGTTATTATAGGCACACACATGATGTATTAGCGACCACGCCACCCCACAGTGGGTTTCATGTCTTCCCAGCATGCACTTGCCCTGCATGAATCACGCAGCCTGTCATGCCTGACTCACCCCTCACCCACAGGATCATGGGAAGCGTTGGGCTCTGTAAAACTGAGGGATTTATTGTAACTGTAAACTACTATAAACAAATGATATACAAATGATATACAAATGATATACACACATACCGCTTTTATGCTGGTATACTCTGCATGATTATGTGAATTTTATGCATGCATGTTTGTAAACACTTCAACGATATAACTGTGTTTGCTGCAATGTACACAATACAGCCAAGACACTGTATCCCACAATGCAATGCACGACTTGACCTTCCATTTCCAGTGTGACAAATGAACTGCGAGTGATGTCATCTCCTTTTTGAGTAATGTTTTTATCAGACTGTTGATCTGTTGATCATAGACTTTTGCTAAACATCATAAATGTGACAAAATGTGTTTGTGGTATGCAGAACCTTGTTTTAAATAAATCACTTCATGAATTCTGAGCACTGCTTTTATATAACATGCAAAAGAGCATCATGTATGCATTGATTAATGTTCAAACAGTAGTGTTCAAATGTTTTAATTCTGTGAGTGGAATACATAAAGTCTTTCACATACAGTTATCATCTCAGAAACATTAATTATTACAAATGAGATGAAATATTTTGCATTTTTAATTCAATACAAAATATTTTGGATTTTATATTCAATATAAAATATTTTGCATTTTTAATTCAATACAAAATATTTTGCATTTTTTTATTCAATATAAAATATTTTGCATTTTTTTATTCAATATAAAATATTTTGCATTTTTAATTCAATGTAAAATATTTTGCATTTTTTTTATTCAATATAAAATATTTTTCCTTTTTTTATTTAAAATCAAATTTTTCATTTTTTTTATTCAATGCAAAATATTTTTTATTTAAAATTTAATATAAAATATTTAGTCATTTTTATTCAAAATAAAATATTTAGCATTTTAATTAAATATAAAATATTTTTGGTTTTTTATTCAATATATTATAGTTAACTAAAGCCATTAAAAACATATATTTTCTTTTCTTAAAATAAAGTAAATGTTAACTAAAATAAAATGTTAAAAGCAACATTTTAATTTTATGTACTTAAATAACTCAATTGATAAAAACTAAATAAAAATATATTATTTAATATATATATTAAAAAACAACAAAGTTATAAAAACTTTAACTAAAAAACTAAATTCAAAATATACATTTTAATGCAATATAAAATAATGAATCAAAATGTTAAAATTCACAAGTTACTATTATTAACGACAACTAAAACCATAAAGAACTTTTTTGTACATTAGATAAAATAAATGTTTACTGAAATACAATTAAATATATATATATATATATATATATATATATGAAGAGTTCAGATGCAAAAGCCTCTATTGACATTTGAAATTTTCTTCTAGAATGATCATTTTTATCAAGCTTGTATATTTAAGTTCAGTAATTTCACTTAAATGGCAATGATAATTACCTATTAATTGTTATTTAAGTGAAATTACTGAACTTAAATATACAAGTTTAATAAAAATCATCATTAAAGAAGAAAATGTCAAATGGCATTTAGAGGCTTTTGCATCTGAACTCTTCATATATTATTATATATATTAACTAAAACTGTAATTAAAATGAATGAATAAAAAAATACATAGACAGATAGATTCTAAGTTTCTAAAACTTTAATATTATTAACGAATTATTAACTATTACCTAATTAATATTAACTAATAAAGATTAATTATGAACATAAAAAACCTATATACTATTATATCTCAATGACGGTACTGATTAACAGTTGACATTTGTCACACCGGAAAAGGAATGTTTTCATTGCATTGTGGGATAGGCCTACAGCTGCAGTGCATTCAGGCTGTAAACGGCACGTTTTGGCAGTAAATTTGTGTTCAGTTCACTAGTATAGATATATATATAGTGTGCTTTGAGAATGTAAAGTGCTTTGGTCCCGCAGGCTTGGATAACTGGCTGAACCTGAGCCGTGTGGATCCAGACGAGGAGGTTCAGGGGGAGATTCATCTGGATCTGGAGCTTCACAGAGACGCTCAGAGAACCGTCCTGCACTGTCACGTCATCGAGGCTCGGTGAGGAGCTTTCCTTTCTCTCATCCCTCGCTTTCTGCATCTCTCCCTCTTCCCTATCCAGCTTTCTAATAAACCTGCCGCTGTACAGGTTCATTTATTTCAGCAATTCAACTTTCAAAGGTGTAACTTATATATTATATAGACTCATTACATGCAAAGTGAGATATTTCAAGCCTTTATTTGTTATAATTTTGATAATTATGACCCCAAATTCAAAATTAGAATATTGTGAAAAGGTTTTCATATCTGTAAGCCATAATCATCACAATTATAACAAATAAATGCTTGAAATATCTCACTTTGCATGTAATGAGTCTATATAATACATTAGTTTCACCTTTTAAGTTGAATTACTGAAATAAATGAACTTTTGCACCATATTCTAATTTTTTATGTTATGAATATTGTTGGCACTGTGACCGATTGCATTTGTTACTCTATCGTAAAGCATCTGCTGAATGCACAAAAGTACATGTTTTCAGTTGTATTTTCTCCTAAACGTCCATGAATCGGTCACAAAGTTAATTGCAGTGTGTGTTTGTGTTGGTTTCAGAGATTTGGCTCCCCGTGATATTTCTGGTACCTCTGATCCGTTCACCAGAATCATCTACAACAACCTGAGCGCCGAGACATCGGTGAGAGGACGAGTCTTCATCTATACACTCATCAGAGCGCCTCGAGCTGCAAAACAGACCAAAAAACGTCATTAAAACGCCAATCATCTTCTGAAATCACCTGATGATCACTGTATATGAGGAACAGAACTCACTATTAAAGATAAAACAAGCTTTTCCTCCACTGAAGCATAAAACATTCACAATTCATTCCAGAAACTGCAGTTTTTACTCTCCTCCTCCTCATACAGTATTAAAGCTGCGCGATTAATTATGATTTTTATGATAAAATTGAGATTTAATATGCTCCAGGTTTGCTGTTCTATGTTTGTAGGGCTGCACAATAACTATAAAATAATAATAATAATAATAATAATAATAATTAAAAATTATTAAGGTTATTATTACTCAATAAAAATATTAAACAGTATAAAAAACAATAATATAAATATTAAAACAATAATTTTAGTTTAACTGTAAAATTACAATACTAATATTTATGACTTAATGTCTTTTGCTGTGCTTGTTAGTAGGGCTGCATTATTTGGCAACAATTTTGGATTTATATATCAATATGACTGTAAAATAATACTAAGTATTATTATTAATAAAAACTATAAATATTAAAAAATATAAGAAATACTACTATTGTAATATTTCACTGTAAAAAAAGAAAAGAAAAAATATAATTATTATTTGATTTTTGAGTGCAACCGTAAAATTACAACACCAATCTCTCTGTCTCCATTATTATATTATATTAGCAGAAAACAGACAGTTTATACACGCTTGCGTTTTCAAACACATGTTATTAATGACCCAAACCCAGAGCGGATGCAGATGCAGTTCATTTACTGAGAACTGGAAACACGAGCTGCTCGTGTGTAAATGAACACCGTGCCGCGCTTCGCTCTGAAACGTGCAGTTCAGTCGAACGAGTGTGTTCTCTCCAGATCATAAAGAAGACGCGGTTCCCGCACTGGGATGAGACTCTGGAGTTGTGTTTGGATGAAGGTGCGGATGATGAAGGTGGAAGCGTCACCGTGGAGGTCTGGGATTGGGACATGGTGGGCAAGAACGACTTTCTGGGAAAGGTGAGGTGACATCTGACCTCTGACCTGTCACTGATGGAGTTTTGTTTTTTTGCCACTGTCACCTTTGGCTTTTGGCTTGTTTAGCTGGGAACATTTAATATTAAATCTCCTGCATTGACACCATTATATAATATGCTATAATAAGCGGTCCCAGCACTGAGCCCTGAGGCACTCCAGTAGCTAGATCTTGATTTATCACGTCCAGATTACAAACATCATACAAAAATTGTTAGCATATTAAACGATGACATCACTGTTTTCTCCAGAGCGACTGTATAGATAGTTTCCAAGACTCACCGTCTTGTCACTCCAATCCTGTTCGGTCTTTCTCCTGTGTAAAACAAAAGCTTATGATTAGCATACAAAAAAATGAGAATATGGTGCAAAAGTTCATTTATTTCAGTATTTCAACTTAAAAGGTGAAACTAATATATTATATAGACTCATTACATGCAAAGTGAGATATTTCAAGCCTTTATTTGTTATAATTGTGATGATTATGGCTTACAGATATGAAAACCGTTTCACAATATTCTAATTTTGAATTTGGGGTTTAGCCATAAATAATCATCAAAATTATAACAAATAAAGGCTTTAAAAATATCTCACTTTGCATGTAATTCTATGTGAGTCTATGTAATATATTAGTTTTTTAAGTTGAATTAAGCTGAAATAAATGACCAGTGTTGGGTGTAACTAATTACTAAGTAATTAGTTACTGTAATTTAATTACTTTTCCCTTGAAAATGTAAAGTAAGGGATTACTCTTAATTTATCTGTAATTTAATTACAGTTACTTCTGATGTAATTGAGGTAAATAGCTACTGTGTATAGATCAATCCGATCTCACAGCGATTCGTATGCATTTTATGAGGCGTCTAAATCGTAGGACCGCACTCGTACAAATTCGTATGAATTATTGTAAAATATGAAAAAAGTGTGAAATGTAATGAGATCAGACATAAAAAAATAGTGGGTTTAACATCAAAATATACTGTCTGATGTTAAAAAGTATGTTTTTATAATCGAACCTTCTCCTTAGTCAGTTTAAGGATAATTCATGCAATTTTATAGTATTTATTTGAAAGAATTAAAACAGATTCATGTCTATCCTTGTATTATTCAGCTGGTTGAGATTGAAATGGGATTTTGAAAGTAATTAGTAATTAAAAGTAATTAAATACTTTTTAGAGAGAGTAATTAGTACAGTAATCTAATTACACTGTTGAAGAGGTAATAAGTAACTAGTAATTAATTACTTTTTTAGAGTAACTTACCCAACACTGTAAATGACCTTTAGCACCATATTCTAATTTTTCGAGTTTCAGTAGTATATAATGATGAAAATGTGTTATTTTTGGGTGATTATTATTTTTAAGTGTCAGGTGTTTGTGTTGGTTTGCACAGGTGGAAATCCCTCTGTCCTGTTTGCACAGATCGCCTCTGATGGGCTGGTTTCGTCTGCTGCCGCTGGGAAACACCGAGGACGATGCAGGGTGTGTGTGTGTGTGTTTTACAGTGCAGTCACATTCATTAGCAGGTGTGTTTGAGATGGTAATGCTGCTTCAGAGATCGTTGTCTTGGTGTTTGCTCATGTTTTAATGACGATCTGCTTCCTTGATTTTGACATGAGAAGCAATTGGCAACCAGTGCGATTTTATGAAGACAGGGCTCGATAAAGACACTCTTGCTTCTGGATCAGGATGCTGGAAGGCCTGAGAGCATTACAATAGTCCAGTCTGCATAGAACAAGAGTTTGGACAAGGAGTTGTGCAGTGCCCGGCAGGATTTTCTCCATATAATGGACTTCAATGGGGACCAAACGGTTCAAGGTCCAAAAGACAGTTTCAGTGCAAACTGTTCAAAGGGCTTTAAACGACACCAGACGATGAATAAGGGTCTCATCAAGCGAAACGATCGGCCATTTAAAAAATAAATAACAAAGTTTAAGTTTTATAAGCTCAAATGCTCGCCTTGCTCTGTTCTGTGATGCGCGTTCATGACTCTCCAGTTTGAACTCGTTTATCAAAATGAACAAATCTTTTATCGAGTCATGACTTTTCGAGACATGAGGTCCTAGATTCATCGTCTGGTGTCCTTTAAAGCCCTTTGAAGCTGCACTGAAACTCTCATTTGGACCTTGAACCGTTTGGTCCCCATTGAAGTCCATTATATGGAATGTTTTCATCAAAAAACATACTTTCCTTTCGACAGAAGAAAGAAAGACATGGACATCTTGGATGACATGGGGGGTGACAAGTTTTTTTTAAAGTGAACTACTCCTTTAAGAATCTTTAGATATGTGTTCTAATACTGAGGAAGAACATCATTGTGTTGCAGTGTATCATCATATTAAGTAAAAGTCCATCATAGTTAAAAACATCTCTATAAGAGTATAAATCCTCTAAGCAGGCTGTCGTTGTAAAAGCAATTCTCAAACACGCATCTCACAGGTCGGTTTTGATGCTTTGTCTATTATAAAAGCACTCAGACACTCTCTCTCTCTATGTCTCTTTCAGGGGTAAACTGGGCGCCTTGCGTCTGAAGGTGCGTTTGACAGAGGAGCGGATTCTTCCTTCTCTGTACTATCAGCCTCTGATCGAGCAGCTGGTGGAGGCCGTCATCTCGCCATCTGAGGTACCATCACATTCAGAACCGGTTAAACTGACCACCTATAGAACAAAGGGTTAATGTAATTGGAGAACATTAAAACTGCAAGAAAATCATCTGGTGCTTCACCTTTTCTCCATTAAGAGAACCAAAACACTGACCTGATGAAACTCTAAACCACTGAAGAATTAGTAAATAAAGTTACTTCCTATTTCAATTGAGGAAGCAAACAGATAGCAGAATAAATTGAATTTGATTTCATTTTATATTAGAATGTTCAGCAACAGGCTAATTACGGAAACATTCATTCATGACAAAACACTGATTCAAATTAATGTAGACTTAATGTAGACATTTGTATGTAATTTAAACTTTGTAGTTTCATGATTTTGTAATGATTCAACTTTTTTTTAGCATTATTATTTTAGTTCTTTATATTTTCTGTTTTCCGATATTTTTTTTAGTTTGTTTTAGTAGTTTAGTTGTGTTTTTGCCATTTTATTAGTTTTTTTTACAAATAAATTAAATACATTTTTGTTTTAGTCATTTTAGTACTTCAAGTTAGACTAAATACAACTACAGTATAAATACATGTTGCCATGGAAACTAGAATGAACAAAATAAGTTTAAGGTTTTTTTATATATTTTATTTTATTTCAGTTATTAGTTTAATGGTGCGTTCACACCGGACATGAATAGCGCGTCAGGCGCGAGTGATTTCAATGTTAAGTCAATGCAAAGACGCGTTACGCGCGTAAAAAATTCCTGCGGCGCTAATGAGGCGTAGTTCGCGCATCAAGTTCGCGCAAATCGAGCGCTTGGCACGCTACGCGCAAATGATTTAGTTAGTGCTATTTGTGCATTCACGCGTTTGACACGAATTCACGCCTGCCGCCCGAGTTGAAAAATAATAATAATTTGAATTTATATAGCGCTTTTCTCAAACTCAAAGTCGCTTGAAAATCTGAACTTTGGCGTCAATTCGCACCCCGTCAACCAATCAGGAGCCTAGCTGCTTGCTCACGTAGTAAAGTATCTGCATGCTTCAATAAATTATTTTGTAATATGACTAAATAATTGGTGTGGTTCTAATGCACAACAAAGCAAATATTTTATAAATTAAATCTTTATTTGAATGAACACGTCACAAAATCCCTCATTATACTAATTAATGCGCAGAATAAAGGGGAGGGGCCTGGTTGAGTTAGTTAGTAGTGTGTTAAACTGGCGGTTATGTGAAGAGGCGGGACATTTCACAAACACACTCGAAGCACTCGACCAATCACAACACACTGATCCAGCCGACCAATCAGAGCACACTGACGTCACGCAGGTGTTGGAGTAATAACTACTGTTAACGAATTCTGTTTGAGATCGAGTTAATGCGAGATGTTTTACTATAAATTACGAACATGGCATCTGAGGAATATTTCTCAGTTATTTTGCTTTATTTCCAGATTCAATCATAGACTTGTTCTTGCGCACTAGAGCTCGTACACACATGCGCACTCTTCAAAAACAACGCTGACAAACTAAAAGAATGAAATACATTTGTATGTATTGTAAATAAAAGATACAGATTGAACTGAATGTTTGTTAGAACGATGCTTTCGGGAAACACAGACTCGCTGAACTGCTGATAACGACGGATCTTGCGACCACAGTCCGCTAACGATGCTTTCGGGAAACACACACCAGAGCGTTACTGACAGACTGGGAAGAGAGGAGCCGCAACAATGGAGAATAATGCATGAAACCTGTTCTAGGAGAGCCCGAAAACAACATCAAGAAGACTATATAAAAGGGCGTATTATGGCCTCATTAAATTCTGTATTTGTCCCAATGCTGTCAGGTGGATGATCCCACACCCTTGACCCTCCTGGAAGAGGTCACGACGGTGGAGAGTCGACAAGAGGTGGCCATGACGCTGGTGAAGATCTATCTGGGTCAAGGCCTGGTCGTGCCATTCCTGGACTACCTCAACACCAGAGAGGTCCACAACACCAGTATGTGTGTGTGTGTGTGTGTGTTTGATTAGTGGTTTTCCTGTGTGTAGGCGACGTGACGACTTCAGTCCAGCTATATTTACACACACGCTGCCGTGAAGTCATCTCTGAACTTCTCCTCTCTCATTAACGATGTTTTGTGTGATTGTGGAGCGCGTGGGTTTTTCACACTCGGCTGGTGTTTTATGTTGCGTTTGTGTTGCGCCGATGACAAACAAAGGGTCCAAGTTTCCATAGCAACTCCACAGGAAGCAGCTTCAAAAGGAAATGGAACGATCATAAGATGGGAATGTTTGTAGCGAACGACGATGATGAAGGAGAAAGACTGAATCCAACTGGAAAGAGCTTTAATGTGACCATTAATCGTGATCTGAGATTTCAATAAATATAACAAATAATAGTTTTAATTTCTAATTTTTAGGGTGGGACCGCAAGTAAATAGGGTAAAAATGTTGACTATTAGATGGCTTCATACTTTCCCCATTTCATTTAATCCCTACTCGTTAAAACGATTGTTCTGTATTACAATTCCGAATATGCAAATGATCCATTATCAAATTAAATATGCACTAATTTGCATAAATGCACAGAACAGAAATCTGAACATTTGATAAAGCAAAGTTCAAAATTTTTAGATTCCATAAATCAGAAAATACTGTCGACAGCCAGAAAAAAAAAAATCACCATATTTTTTAGGGAAAGATTTTTTTTATACAAAACAGAGTGTAAAAACCGTCATACAGTAATATATATATATATGAAGAGTTCAGATGCAAAAGCCTCTAAATGCCATTTGAAATTTTCTTCTTTAATGATGATTTTTATCAAACTTGTATATTTAAGTTCAGTAATTTCACTTAAATGGCAATGATAATTACCTATTAATTGTTATTGAAGTGAAATTACTGAACTTAAATATACAAGTTTGATAAAAATCATCATTAAAGAAGAAAATTTCAAATGGCATTTAGAGGCTTTTGCATCTGAACTCTTCATATATATATATATATATATATATATAATATAATATTATATTATATAATACATTTACAAAATAATTATATACAGCGCACACAAATATATTATGTAAACACAGACTTTTATTTTGGATGCGATTAATCCCAATTAATTGTTGCACAGCCCTAATATATATATATATATATATATATATATATATATATATATATATATAACAAAACACACAATCTTTATTAAATATTTATCACATTAAAATAATTATATTTGAAGAGTTCAGATGCAAAAGCCTCTAAATGCCATTTGAAATTTTCTTCTTTAATGATGATTTTTATCAAACTTGTATATTTAAGTTCAGTAATTTCACTTAAATGGCAATGATAATTACCTATTAATTGTTATTTAAGTGAAATTACTGAACTTAAATATACAAGTTTGATAAAAATCATCATTAAAGAAGAAAATTTCAAATGGCATTTAGAGGCTTTTGCATCTAAACTCTTCATATATATATATATAAAACTGTAGTTTGTTGTGTGTAAAGCTGCTGAAGTGGAGATTTCTGATTCAAACCCACCGTCTTTATGGGTTGAGATCAGACTCAAACAGATAAAAGTGCAGTAAAATAAACACTAAAATGTGTATTTTGGACCTTTTCTTTCCACTTGTCTGAAAGAAGACATGTAATAGAAGCAAAAAAGTCCAAAATCTGATCATTAACAACCATCCAAAACTACTAATCACTAAAAATAAGACAGAACAAATAGAATATGGATAGAAATGCACCCCCTGGGGGACCAAGGTGTATTTGGGGTCCTTGGGATGTTGTTTTGACATCTACTGACATCCATGCTTTTTTCAGTTATTTATAAGCATGTTAATGGCAAAGATTCACTCTATATAGCACAAACGGGGCTACCATAATATGTGAGCAACATGTATATGTTTGTATTTTTAAGAGAATAATGTTTATGCGTGGTTATTAAAACAATTTAAATGAAAGTTGCTGAAATAAGACCACAAAACACATACTAAATATGTGTCCACATCCACAAGACGTTTGACTAATGGATGTTGTCGCTTCGAAATGATGTCTAATCCTTAACATAAAACACAACTTTAATTTATACTTTGTATGACAGTTTTTGTGTCAGAAGAGGTTTATGCGTGGGAGTGGTAAATGCATAACTGTACATTGGGAAAACATCACATTTTCTTTACTGTAAAAGTTTAGTTGTCCTAAATAAATAACAATTTGATAGATTTAATGTTATACATTTATGTGCGTTCTTACTTTGTTGTGTGGATGACAGTCATGTGCATGGAGAAACATGAACAGAAGTTGTTTTCTGTTTCTCCCCAACAATAGCAGATCCAAACACACTCTTCCGGTCCAACTCACTGGCCTCTAAAGCTATGGAGCAGTTCATGAAGGTGTGTGCATGTCTTCATCTCAAATATATTCTTGTGTTTATATCATAACGCGTGAATGTTAGTAAGAGGGTTTGGTGTGTGTCAGGCCGTCGGGATGCTGTATCTACACGAGGTTCTGAAGCCCATTATTAACCGGATCTTTGAGGAAAGGAAATACGTCGAGTTGGATCCCTGCAAGATAGACCTCAACCGCTCCAGGTGCGAGTTCGTCATATAACATATGCATTACAGGAGTTCGTTCTCACTGCGTATCTTCAGCTGAATAACCGGGGGAAAGTAAGTGTTGCCAGGGAACAGCAGTGGCTTTTAGATCTATGTATAGTGCGATTTCACCACATGTGAAATGTCACCGAGAACAAAAGCGCTTCAGGTTTCAGGCAATATTTGAAATCTATTATTTACAGAAATTTGGGGACTGGAAGATTTTGTCACCAAGGCTGTGTTTATTTGATCAAAAATATAGTAAAAACAGTGAAATATTAAATGTATTACAATTTAAATCGGCTGTTTTCGATGTGAATATATACCCAAGTGGGTAACACTTTACTCGAAGGGGTGTGCATAAGACTGGCATGACATATGTCTTGAATATGAAGTTTATGCATGTTTTAGTCAATTGTCATTAAAGGGATATTCCACTTTTTTTGGAAATAGGCTCCTTTTACAAGTCCCCCAGAGTTAAACCGTTGAGTTTTACCTTTTTTGAATCCAGTCAGTCGATCTCCGGTTCTGGCGGTACCACTTTTAGCATAGCTTAGCATACATCATTGAAGTGCACAAGACCGTTAGCAAAGTGCTTCGATATTTTTCCTAAATAGCAACTTTACATTTTCCGTCGGTCTTAATGCACAATGTAACTATAGAAGAGTCAAGTTTTAAATAGAAATAATATTGAAACACTTTGGGCATTTTTGGGGGAGAAATGCTAACGGTCTTGTGCACTTCAATGATGTATGCTAAGCTATGCTAAAAGTGGTACCGCCAGAACCGGAGATCGACTGAATGGATTCAAAAAAGGTAAAACTCAACCGTTTAACTCTGGGGGAGTTGTAAAATGAGCCTATTTCCAAAAAAATGTCAATGTTTATATGTGAATTAAAAAAATTTTCATCATATGAACGATACAATCATGTCTCTTTAGAATTGCTTGGTTCACTTGGATTAGTTTTAGGATCTCTATTAACTTTTTGAAGCATCAAAGTCGTAGTTGCGTAGACTGTCAATGGAAGGACAGAAATCGGTCAGATTTCATTTAAAATACATTAATTTAAAAGGGATACTCCCCCCAAAAAATGCAACACTTAAAGGGATACTCCACCCAAAAATAAAAATTCGGTCATCATTTACTCACCTTCAAGTTTCTTTCTTCTGCTGAACACAAAGGAAGATATTCTGAAGAACGATAGGAACTCTGACACCATTGACCTCCATTGTATTTGTTTTTTCTAGGACAGAAATCGGTCAGATTTCATTTAAAATACATTCATTTGTGTTTGGAAAATGAAGTTAAAGGGATACTCCCCCCAAAAATGAAAATTCGGTCATCATTTACTCACCTTCAAGTTTCTTTCTTCTGCTGAACACAAAAGAAGATATTTTGAAGAATGATTGGAATCAAACAGTTGTTTGGCACCATTGACTTCCATAGTAGAAAAACAAATACAATGGAAGTCAATGGTGCCAGAGTTGCAATCGTCCTTCAAAATATCTTCCTTTGTGTTCAGCAGAAGAAAGAAACTTGAAGGTGAGTAAATGATGACCGAATTTTCATTTTTGGGGGGAGTATCCCTTTAAGTGTTGCGGGTTTGGAACGGCACGACGGTGAGAACGTTTTTTTTTTCCAGTAGTGTGTGAACTAGTAACGCTCTCTTTCCAGACGTATATCGTTTAAAGGCTCGGCGTCTGAGGCGGAGGTCAGAGAGAGCAGCGTCGGGCTTCTTCAGGCCTATCTGACCAGCATCATGGAGGCCATCGGGAACTCGGTTTCCCAGTGTCCTCCTGTGATGAGGGTCGTGTTCAAACAGCTCCATAAACGAGTCGAGGAACAGTTTCCAGAACCGGAGAATGAGGTGAGGACTGGATGATGATGAGGATGGTGATGAAGGTGTTGTACTCACTGTTTCTCTCTCCTGTAGGATGTGAAGTATTTGTCCATCAGTGGCTTTTTCTTCCTGCGTCTGTTCGCTCCTGCGATCCTGACACCCAAACTCTTCCAGCTGAGAGACCATCACGCCGACACACGCACCAGCAGAACGCTCCTGCTGCTCGCTAAGGTTCAACACACACAGTTACAGATCCACATGATAAATTCATCGTTTCATTTTACTTAAAAAAATCAATTACTCAGATGTGTGTCAATTAAATGTTGGAAAAATCATCATTTTTATTATATACTAACTATTTTGTTTATTTTATATCATGCTGGAAATTTCATAATTTTAAATTTGCATGTTGAAAAAATATAGTTTATTTATATATCATTTTCAAACCAGTCACTTATTTATGCATGCACTGATGTTGGAAAATCATCATTTTTATTATATACTATTTTGTTTATTTTATATCATGCTGGAAATTTCATAATTTTAAATTTGCATGTTGAAAAAATATAGTTTATTTATATATCATTTTCAAACCAGTCACTTATTTATGCATGCACTGGTGTTGGAAAATCCTCATTTTTATTATATACTATTTTTTTATTTTATATCATGCTGGAAATTTCATAATTTTAAATTTGCATGTTGAAAAAATATAGTTTATTTATATATCATTTTCAAACCAGTCACTTATTTATGCATGCACTGGTGTTGGAAAATCCTCATTTTTATTATATATTATTTTGTTTATTTTATATCATGCTGGAAATTTCATAATTTTAAATTTGCATGTTGAAAAAATATTGTTTATTTATATGTAATTTTCAAATCAGTCACTGATGTTGGAAAATCCTCATTTTTATTATATACTATAGTTTATTTTACATTGATTTTACATTTTAATCACATTTTCATGCATGCTATCTAACAATGCATTTGCATGAAACGTAAAATATGAAATGTGAGTGATTAACTTTCTATGTTTGAAACTCTTTCGTACATAATGCCTTAATATTATTGCAATAGAGCACTGAAAATGTGAATTATTTAATCAAAAATCATTCATTACCGTTCACAACAGCATTGTTTACCCCCATTGGTCACATGGACACGCCCCTTCCAACATCAGCGTTTCCCAATTGTAAATATGGTTATACTCGGGCGAGTGATTGCGATATTTCTGCGAGTAAATCTGTAATTGTTGTCAATATGTCCTGTTTCAATAATTCATGAAATAAAAATCCATTGTCAGTGCATTTCACAGGAATCAGTTTAGAAATTCTCAGTGTAACTGAGTAAATCACATGCTGTATATACTGAGGGCCTTTCATACACTCGGTGCAATGCAACACACTCTGACACACACACACAGATTTAACCTTGTGCACGAGCAGATATGTTTCCTCGCTAGAGAAGCATTCCGTTTTTCCACTGTCAAATTCTGTCATGTAAATAGCGAATCCGCCGCAGCACGAACGCAACTGTGAGGTGAGACTCTGATTTATTGCAGGTTACGCCCCAAAACACACCCATTACTAGTTAACAGAGTAGTTCACTTTTAAAAAAACTTTTGCTGATAATTTACTCACCCCCATGTCATCCAAGATGTCCACGTCTTTCTTTCTTCAGTCGAAAAGAAATTAAGGTTTTTGATGAAAACATTCCAGGATTTTCTCCATATAATGGACTTCAATGGGAACCAAACGGTTCAAGGTCCAAATGAGAGTTTCAGTGCAGCTTCAAAGGGCTTTAAACGACTCCAGACGATAAATAAGGGTCTTATCAAGCAAAACGATCGGCCATTTAAAAAATAAATAACAAAGTTTAAAGTTTTATAAGCTTAAATGCTCGCCTTGCTCTGTTCTGTGATGCGCGTTCGTGACTCTCCTGTTCATCAAAATGAGCAAATCTTTTTCCGAGTCATTTGGTTCATTAAACGAACAAAATGAACGAAGTGACTCAAAAAAAAAACATTTAGAAAACGTAAAAACTAAAAAAAATAAAATAAACTTTGTTAATTATTTTTTTAAATGAGCGGTCATTTCGCTAGATAAGACCCTTATTCATCGTCTGGTGTCGTTTAAAGCCCTTTGAAGCTGCACTGAAACTCTCATTTGGACCTTGAACCGTTTGGTCCCCATTGAAGTCCATTATATGGAGAAAATCCTGGAATGTTTTCATCAAAACAGGGCCCTGAATGTCTTTATGATGCTCTCTCTCTCTCCCTCTCAGGCTCTGCAGAGCGTTGGGAATCTGGGGCTCCAGTTGGGTCATGGGAAGGAGCAGTGGATGACCCCTCTGCATCCCATCATCCTTTGCAGTGTGGCGTCCGTCAAAGATTTTCTGGACAAGCTTATAGACATCGATCACGACAACGGTGAGTCAACATGACGACGGAGCAACGCGTCACCATGACAGCAGGCAATTATTTATAGAGTATTTGCTAAAAATACACTCTGTCTGAAATATGAATAATAATAGTGATTAAAACTGAAATCATGTACGTGTGAGGGACAAACTTCTGAAAGTAAACTGATGTCCTAAAACGACGAAATAATCCAAAAGTGAACTCGAATAAACGCTGTTCTTTTGAACTTTCTGTTCATCAAAGAATCCTGAAAAAGAAAATCTTATCAGTTTCCACAAAAATATGAACATTGATAATAATCATAAATGTTTCTTGATCATCATATTAGAGTGATCAAAAATATTAAAAATAATAATATTTCCAAACTTTTGACCGGTACTGTGTGTTTGTGTGTGTGTATATATATATATATATATATATATAAAATTGTATGCAAATTGTAGGCTTTGAATGGTATATAGTAGGGGTGTAACGATGCCCTCATGTCACGATTCGATACATATCCCGATACTGAACTCATGATACGATATTATTGTGATACTCCAAGACATATGGTAAAGGTTAATAAAAACGTACTGTTGATTAAAATGCTAAATTTGATATTACATTGTGGGTTTAAATGAATAGGCTTGTAACCCAAGGACAATGGTGACACCAGAATAACAATAATCATGATTCTGAAGCTGAAAACAGAATTATTTTAGACGAATATGCTTGCACTCTGTCACAGACCAGATATATTTAAAATAATGTCGGCCATTTTTTACTGGTAACATCAGGACCCATAATAATCCCCCATTGTATTATTATATATAGTAGTTCAATGTAGTACTGACACTAAAACTCTGTAAACTTGAATTTTTTCTTACAGTAATTTTTATTTTGGGGGAACTATCCACGATACGTATTGTTGCAGTTGTGTATTGCGATACATTGTTACACCCCTAGTATATAGTGTGTGTTCAGTGTGTGTGAGATCATATACCCATATCCACGCTCAACACGTCCTGTCAAACACTGCTTTAATATTTAATGTGTGTGTGAATACATTACAAAGGGAGTCTGATGTCAGTTACACCTGCAGCTGTTACACACACTCACGTTCTTCACAGTGTGTGTGTGTGTTTCTAGTGAAACACATGGTAGAATAATTGAGGCAAACACATGCAGTCTCTGAAGATTTACTCCAGTCCTGTTTGACTGTAATCTGCACGTGTGTGTGAGTGAAACACGAGTCGCTGTGTGTGACTGTAGTCTAGTGCGCCACCTGCTGTCTGTACTGCAGAACTGCACAACACACTGTGTGTTATTAAACCACATGGGTTTTGGAAATGAGTGCGTATTTGTACACGTCCTGCAGGAGCTGTAATAATAGTGTGTGTGTGTGTGTGTGCAGTGTGTGAAGCTCCTCAGCGCTCCGTGTTTTTACCGTCGGTCATCGTGAAGGAAGGATTCCTGCAGAAACACAAAGCTGAAGGACCTCAGCTGCTCAAACGCTTCACTTTCAAGAAACGCTATTTCTGGCTCAGTTCAGAAACGCTGTCCTACGCCAAGAGCCCCGACTGGCAGGTCAGACACACACACACACAAGTGTATACCTGTAAAAACACACGTTTTTATGACTGGAGTGTA